CAAAGCTGCAGCGGAGGCCGCTGCCACAGCAATGGCGTGTTTTATCCTATCTCTCTCGGACTCAGCGGAGAAGTTCCTCAGCCATGTGGGCTCTAATTCAGCTTCACTTCTGTTATCCAAGGATGAAGATTGTCCTGCTCTGCTCCATAAAGTGAACCATTTCCTTGCTTTTCTCTTTCTAAGACCATCGTAGCCGCTGCTCTTCTCGTCATCGCTGCATTTTCTCCAGCTGACAAAAACCCTCCACCAACTCGCTCGGCCCATTTCAGGGTGTGCGAGCAGGGGAACAGAAAGAAGAATCCTCGTCTCCAAATATGCTTCTTTTTTTTTTCACTTCTCCGTCCGGGATATCTCAAGAGTTTAAGATGGACAGATTGTTGGATTTAGTCAAAGTTGCCGTATTTATAGATTAGATAAGCGGAAGTGATGGAGCAATTAAGGAAAGCGAAAAACCGTTTGCTTTTTTAAATTTTCAAATATCAATTGACGGGAAAGGAGAATCTGACAGAACAGGGATTCGTTTCCTGAGGCTGTTAAATGATGATGGTGATGACCTTGAGTACTTGCTTGCTGAAATACATTTCATACGGTCAACGATGATGCTTGCAGCGAAGGACCTGTGAGGGACTTGTTGCAAGGAGTACGGAAGTGACGGCAGCGTAATTATGGTAGCTGCGATTTTGGGTGATCCCTCTGGTGCCTGGACATTTTTTTTCAACTTATTTTGTCCTCACGAAATGACGTTTATCCCATTTGCTTCATTTTTTTTTTCTAAAGAAAAGAATATTAATCATATCTCATATTTTAAAACGAAAATGGGAAGAAATGAGCAAAATAGAAATTGTGGGTTCAAATGAAAAAAAGTAATAAGGGCTGGAGAATGAATTTTCTTACTATGCATGCGCTCCATTCTGTTCTCCTGATGTATGCTAAATATGTTAAGAACACTGTCTGATCAAAGATCAGCTCAAGACAACTTGGATGGATAGGAAAAGTAAACAAAGTGAACTCACTATAATGTCATTATAATATAAGGGAATTCATCAAACCCATTAGAATGATATAATCAAATAGAATCTCATCATGGATAACTAACTTACTCTCATGCATAACTGGCATAACGTCAAGGTTATCTCAAGGTTTACCCGACTTGTTGAGTGATTATTAGGTGCGGAATAAGTACATGCGGATTTCACTATACTTTAGTTGTATTGATTGTATTGATATAACCAATACAACTAACATACAACAAAATCCATATATGCAGAGTTCGAATCTAATAATTTTTCTTATCAAAGAGTTTATTTGCCCAAGCTCAAAGAAAACCACTGTAAGAGGTTAGGTGCTAATAATCAATGCTAATGAGTTCATAAAAAAGTCAACACTTAATTGAAAAATCTACAACTTCATTGATAAAGTGGTTGGATGTTGGAATCATATATCTTATTTCTGGCAGTGTTTGGGTTAGTTCGATTCACTGTGTTCCTAAGAAAGGGTGGGGGGGTGACCATAGCTATAAATAAATGGAATGAATTAATTTCAACAAGATAGGTCACTGGATGATGAATTTGTATTTGTTATAGAAAATTAAATCTCTCCACATGGAAAGATCACTTCCCTCTACCTTTATTGGACCAAATATTGGACAGGCTGGCTGGGGATCGATATTTTTATTTTTTTGGATGGATATTCAAGATACCACGAGATACCTATAGCTCCTGAGGATCATGGAAAAACATCACAAGTCCCTATGGGACATTTGCTTTTAGAATAATGTCTTTTGGTTTATATAATGCACCTGAAAATTTTCAAATGTGCATGATGTCCATTTTTTTGCGATAAAATTGAGAAAGGAATTAAAGTTTTCATGGATGACTTTTTCAATTTTTGGAACCTTCTTTGATTTTTGTTTAGATCGTTTATTGAGTGTTTTAAAATGTTTTGAAGCAACAAATCTGGTTCTCAATTGTGAAAATGTTAAGTTATGGTGGCAGGAGGAATAGTTTTAGGACATAAAATTTTTTAAAGTGGTATGGAAGTAGATCCAGCTAAAACACAGGTTATCATTAAACTACCTCCTTCTATTAAAGAAGTTTAGAGTTTTCTAAGACATGTTGCTTCCACAGGAGATATATTAAAGACTTTTCAAAATTCTCTAAAGTGTTATCTTTTGAAAAAAGATGCAATATTTGATTTCAACCAGGAATGCACATACGCCTTCAATTTATTAAAGGAAAAATTTAGCACTGAAACTATTATTGTTTCACCTGATTGGGGAAAACTATTTGAATTAATGTGTGATGCAATTCATTTATGTTGAAGAAAGAAGCAAAAATAAGATTAATTAAGTGAGTCATGTTGATGTAGGAATTTGATTTCAAGGTGATTGATAGAATGAGATCTGATAATCAAATTATTGATCATTTATTAAGCCTTAAAAAAGAACATTATGGTGATTTTGATGATGAAATAAATGAAAATTGTCCTGATGAACAATTATACACTATATTTGAGTGGTGTGTTCCATGGTATGCCGACAATGTGAATTATATAGTAAGTGATTTTGTACCTGTTGGATTATCATACCAACAACAAAAAAAAGTTGTGTATGATACCAAATCTTACTTTTGGGAGGACCACCCTTATTTATATAAGAAATGTAAGGATCAAGTTATTCAGAGATGTGTACCATTTGAAGAAACACAAGAAATTATTCAATAATGTCATGATTCTAAGTTTGGGGACATTTTGGAGTCGATAACTGCATTTAACATCCTACAATCTTGATTTTATTGGCCTATTTTATTTAGAGATATTAATATTTATGTAAGAACATCTTATCAATCTGAACGTGTAGGCAATATTTCTAAAAGGAATGAAATGCCCCTAAATTTTTCCTTAAAAGTTGAAAGTTTTGATGTATGGGTTTAAATTTTATGGAACCATTTATACAATCTTCGGGAAACATATATATTTTAATTGTTGTGGATTATATTTTTAAATGGATAAAAGTGGTTGTTTTACCTCGCTGTGATGCTCAGAGCATTGCAAAATTTTTAAAGAAAAATATTTTTAGTAGATTTGGAATGTCAAGAGTGATCATTACAGATGAGGGAAGTCATTTTAAAATTAAAAGAATTGAAAAATTAATTAAAAATTTTGGAATTAAACATAGAATTGCCACAGCTTAATATCCTCAGACCAATGCTTTAGTTGAAGTTTCCAATCGTGAAATTAAAAAAAATATTGGAAAAAACTATAAATCCTAATAGAAATGGTTGTTATGCTAAACTTGATAATGCATTATGGACCTATAGGATTGCAAATAAAACTCATATAGGAATGTCACCATAAATGTTCATATTTGGAAAAACATGTCATTTGTTAGTAGAACTTGGTATAAAGCTTATTGTGCTATTAAAGAATTTAACTATAATTTGAAAGATGCTGCCGAGAAATAATTATTGCAATTAAATGAGCTCGAGAAAATAAGAAATGAATCTTATGAGAAAGCGAAAGTTTATATCGAAAAAAAGAAAATTTGGCATGATCGAAAGATTTTAAGAAAAAAATTTTAACATGGACAAGAAGTTTTACTATATAATACAAGATTGAAATTATTTCTCAAAAAGCTTAAGTAGAGGTGGTCGTGACCATTTATTGTAATAAAAGTTTATTTATATGCTGTTGTGGATATTAAAGATCCAAAAATTGGAAGAATATTTAAGGTAAACGAGCACAAATTGAAACCTTACATAAGTAGAAAAAAACCTATAAGTGATGAAGTCCTAATGTTCGGTCAATCATAGTTAACATTGGATACGTTGGGCCTACGACGCTAAACCAAGCGCTTCGTGGGAGACAACCAGTGATTATCAGTGTGGATTGATTTTATGTTATTTATTGTTGTATTGAAAGCATTAAGTGTTAATGAGACCTACATGATGAGATGAAGCACAAACCACTTATTTAATTATCTAGATGAGGTTGGGATGTGTTAATTGGACCTAAGGCAAAGCGATGCTAATTTTAACATGTTGACCTCACTTTTGGGTGAGGGTTTTAGGTCTTTCCTTTAGTGATTAGGATCTAGCCTTAGGACTTTCTTAATAACTATCTTAGCATCTTAGAAATGGTACCCAGCTTCTCCTTAGACATTTCAACCAAATTTTTGTTCTCTATGTTGGTTCTATATGTGATCAATAATCTTTAATACAAATATTATAGATTACATGAGGGAACCCTGATGAGAATTCCTATAAAATCTATGGACCATAGGAAAGCCTTGCACTGTTCTACACCTTCTTGGACTTCAATAATTGCATCATCATTCATAATCTTTATAAACATCATAAACATTACATTTTCATATCACAATGTTGCAATCATTACACCCGTGGAGCTGACCAAAATTATTTGAACCCAGTTTCCCCTAAAATACCCCACTTGAATGTTCTACTTCTTCAAAATTTCCCAAAATTGGCATTAAATAAAAAAATACCCAATTTTCCAAAATTTTCTAATCACCAATAAGTCCTAAAAATGATAACAAAACATTCCTTATGTCATACTGAGAATTTTGACTTTAAACTTCCTATACTTTCGGACAACTTTTTGACATCTCAACAAAAAATAAGGAATACTTAAAAAATGCTTCGAGGATCATAAAACTTTCCACATTGATCGAAAATGACTCTGTACACTGTCGTTTGACTTCAAATTTCTTCCTGAATCACCTCGAGTCTTCAAATCAATCTTTTGACCACTTTGACCAAAGTTGGCCAAAATTACCAAAATGCTACTCATTACCCAAAAATTCCCAAATCCTCCAAAATTATTTGAAACACCCCTAAAACCAATTCTTGACCATCCATTGAGTCTATTTGACCAAATTCACTCACTTTGACCAAAATCCCCGAATTA